AGGTAAAGTCTTGACGAGTTTTTGTCGCGGGTCTGGGGGAGTTTCAGCCCCCACCCCTTCTCCTTCTCCTTCTCTCTCTCTGCCCCGACACTTGCTGCAGCCCCGTTCTGCTTTGAAGCGTTTCTTTAGAAACTAGCTCTCACGCTAAAGCGACAGTTCGCTCCTCCCACACTAAGAAAACAGGAGGGGAGGGGTCAGCTGCAGGAGCTCATCCTGTGCAGCGGAGCAGAGAGACGAAGTAAACAAACAAGCAGGAAAATGAAACTTATCGGCGTCTTTTTTTTACCGACCTCAAAAAAAGTTATCGTGCGATTAATTGATTTATTGACTATCGCGACAGGCCTAATCTCAGGCTACATAAAAACCTTATTGTCTGACCGGAAAGTAAGTTTTCTGAAAAACCGGAGTGATTACAGAAACGACGTTTCAACTGATAAGGCTATTTCAGTTATTCTCACACATACACACTAGGGTTGGGCATAATCGTATCGTGTGCAATTATTCGTCAGAAAAACATTAATCGATTAATTTTTGGCACTTGACGATTAATACAATTAATGCCACCTGGCAGACTAACCGCTTGGTGTTCCTCTCTGATTCAAACATGACCAACATTAAAAATTGTGTAATTTATTTATCTATCAACACAATTTAAAGTTTGATGTGTAGCCTGAAGTCTGTAGTTTTGAGACAATTTGGAACAGATTTTTATGAAGAGCCAATTTTCTCCCTATAAATTGGTCATGTGACTAGGATATAAGGGTGTCCATGGACTCTGGGGGATTAATCGTCAAATTAATCGTTATCGGCTAAATACCACAGTTAATCGTGATTAATTTTTTGCCAATATTGCCCAACCCTAATACACACACATACTGATCGTAATAAGTTACAAATATTAACACATACACCACATAGTAGTTTCCTTGGCATCTGAAAATCCATTTCCCCAAAGGTATTTTTAATCTGAAAAGAACTGGACTGAGAAGTAGTATTAGGAGCTCATCAGACACGGTTTCACCAGGTGTTTGCTGGTTGTTGCTGCCAATAACTTGCAGGAGTCATGGGGTGGGCCGGGGGGTGGGGAGGTGTGCTCTATGATGAGGAAGCTCGGCTTGGAGACACAGCCCAGAGGAGGAGCTGCTCCTAAAAGGAGGTTCTAGTCCCAACCGGTTGTTTTTGCTCCCCTGCCTGGCTGCCTCAGGACAGCACAGGATTTATCAAACATTCATGAATGAGTCACCTGTTTAGGTGTGACTTTGGATCCAACTTTAAGCTTTAAAATTCATRTCAAAAAGCTTAGAAAGTCTTTAAAATTTAATTTAGCAAATTTTAGGTACATATGTAGATATCTTACTATTGAGGGTTCACATATTTATGGAAGCTATGATTTTCTCAAAAATATATATTTTTTATATACAGTRTATTGTGTGACTAGGTGGTTCCAAGGATGTAAAACTATCCATAAGTGCCTTAAATNGCCTTAAATATTAATTACAAAAAAGAAAGACAATATCATCACTATCATTTTTTTCTAAATATGTTTCTTACTTTCTTTCTTTCTTTTTTTAGTTTGGAAATCTGATATTTTATGCAAACTTTTGTTTGGTTTCTAAAATCCTGCATGGCATTACTGCTCCAACTTTAGGAAAGACAAAATTAAATTAGCTCCAATCAATTCAAGCTTGATTCTGATTCTGAAAAGGTGGTGTGTGTGTTTTTTCAAACCTTCTGAAAAGGTTTGTCACTTTGTGATCACTTTGAGATCAGATACAGTGACTGGAGTCACAAGGGCGACCTCCAGAGGTGAGTGCAGCATCCCCAAATCTAGGACTGCTTTTAATAAAACTACATTCTCTTTTGTTTCAACGGGCCGTTGAAATARTTTGAAATGAGATTGTAACCTGTACTAGTTATAAAAAGTTTGCTTATTTGGCAAAAAAAAGATGTATATTAAATCACCAGATATGCACTAGGCAAAGAAATTGTTTTATGAACTGTATGTAGGATTGCAAGTTTAATTTATTTGTTTGGTTTGAGTGACGTGAAAATGACATCAGATTGTGCAGCTCTAAGGATCTGTTGATCTCTGACTAACTAGACTGCTTTAACTAAAGGTGGTCCAACATGTACTCCCATATCTAAATAGGAGGGTAGACAGACCATTACATTAATGATTACAATGTTTATGTTCTGTCAAATTTCAYGATGTGACGTCTGTGCCAGCAGAAGCCTGCAGAATATTGTCAGGAAATAAATAATGGGCAGAGAACGATCAGCCTTTTGTCTTCTGTTGTAAACTATGGTAAAGCTTGGGACTGGATTATAGTTGGAAAGGATTATGGAACCAGATTGAACACAGTCCATTTGTCCCCACTGATAACTTACTGAACCTTGACATTTGAATAGGCTACTTGCTTAATTTT